GAAGTGGTGCCTCGATGCGCACCCGGGATCCGAACCCGGGCCACCAGCATCGCAGCGCGCGCACTTAACCACCAAGCCACAGGGCCGGCCCGGTACTTTTTTCATTTAATAATACACAGTATGTTTTGGTGTCCATTGCCTGAAAACAGAACACACGATCTGCTTCATTCTTTTTAACACCTGGACAGTATTCCTTTGAAAGGACTTTTCTTTTTTTTGAGGAAGATCAGCCCTGAGCTAACATCCATGCTAATCCTCCTCTTTTTGCTAAGGAAGGCTGGCTCTGAGCTAACATCTATTGCCAATCTTCCTCCTTTTTTTTCCCCAAAGCCCCAGTAGATAGTTGTATGTCATAGCTGCACATCCTTCTAGTTGCCGTATGTGGGATGCGGCCTCAGCATGGCCAGAGAAGTGGTACGTCGGTGCGCGCCCGGATCTGAACCCGGGCCGCCGATAGCAGAGCGTGCGCACTTAACCGCTAAGCCATGGGGCCGGTCCTGAACGGACTTCTTATTCAAGGAGTCCCCTTTTGATGGGGTTGACCTTCCCCTCTGGTTCTGCCTGGCCAGCTCCTACTTGTCCTCTGACTCAGCTCAGGTGTGCCCACCTCCTGGTCCTCCCCTCCAAGCTAGACAGGATGCCTCTTCTTTGTGCTTCCCCAGCACCCCGTGCTTCCCTCCTCCGGGTGTTATATCCTGTATTGTCAGTATCTGTCTGTCTCCAGGGTCCACGTCTCTCACCTGTATCCCCACGGTGGGGTCTGGCACATGGTAAGCACTTAGGAACTGTTGACTGGATGGATTGGTGCCTGGCAGAATGGTGGCACCTTTTACTAACATTAGGGAGGACCACAGGCTTAGCTTGGTTTTAGATGGACTGAGCTGGAAGTACCGGTTAGATGTGCTGGTGAAACTGTCCAGCAGATGATTGGAATTAGGGTCCTGGAGCCCAGGCAAGGGTCCTTCCCACAAAGGGGATGGTTGCAGCAGCAGCAGGGAGGCTGATCTGTGAGAGGGTGTGCAAGGGTGTGGAGGCACTGAGAGCCCAATGCTCCCTGATCCTGGTATCCCTTCCAGTCAGGTTTCTTTCTTGTATCTCTGTTGCAGGGAAACATAGTGGCACTTGTGCATGACAGTGGAGACGCTGAGGACGAGGAGAACGACATCCTGCTGAATGGCCTTAGTCACCAGAGCCACCTGATCCTGCGGGCCGAGGGCCTGGCCACTGGCTTCTGCAGGGATGTTCATGGGCAGGTGCGCAGGGGCTGGGGCCAGGGCCTTACTGGGCAGCGGGCTGCTTGCCTCTGTGCCTCAGTCTAAACTTCACATGGGATACTGTTGGGCTCAAGGGGTTGTCTGGTTGGGGTATTGCTTCAGATGGAAGTTGTGTGAATGCAAGTCAGAGTCTGCTCCGGAGAGTGCTTAGCCCCACACGCCAGTGCAGGTTTCCACAGTATCCCGTCTGTGAGGCTCCTAAAGAGGAGACAGCTATCTGGAGTGGAGTACAGGGGCAGTGCTATCAAACAGTAAAATTTCTATGCAGGACTACAATAGGCTTTGTATATTCAGGTCAACATTCTTCCTTTTAAAATAGAGACTTGGGGAGGCTGGACCCACGGCTAGGGTTGCTGCCGCCTCTGACCAGAAGGTTTGGAGTACTCGGGCAGAAGCCAAGAGGCTTGCTCTGGGAGGGAGGTCGGGTTCTGCTCCTCCCAAGGGGCTGCCATGGTTGTCTCCTTTCTGAAACTTCTCTTTTGGAATCACCCCAAAGACTCTGCCACAGCTTCCAGGTTAACTTTATGTTGACCACTCTTGACCTGTTAAGGGTGGGTAGGCATTTTGGCCTAGAGTCATGCAGAGGCAGCAATGGAAAATAAAGCAAATGAGCAAGCCCAGAAATGCTGTGTTGGTGGCGCCTGTGGCACAGCGTGAGGAGAGGGTTGTGCTGGGCAGCTTGTGGCCTGGCTCTGAAGCCAGTCCCCCGAGCATTCTAGGCGGTGACATCATCAAAATAAATGTCTAGCCTGCCTGAGCCTCTGAATTGAATATAGATTCTGATGTGTTGATTTTGATAATCAGTCTAGCCAACAAGTACAAGCCAACAATCTAGCCAACAAGTACAAGCCAACAAGTACAAACCCATGCATAGAAAAAAGACCAAAGGGAAATACATAAAAATACTTTAATGGTTTTTCTCTGGATGCCTTTTTTCTTCCTTTTCTTTTGTTCCATGTTTTCTGTAATGAGCAAATATCACTATTGTAATGGAGGGGAAACCTTTATTTTTAGTTAGCTGGTGATAAGCTTTGTTTTAGAACTTGGTCCCATTATGGCATGGCTCATGAAACTTACCTCATAGGGGCCTCAAATGAAGGTTATGGAGGAGGCAGGTGGGGTTCGGTATTTGGGGTGGGTGCTCCTCTTTCATTCTTCTCCCTGTCACTGTAGCTGAGGATCCTGTGGAGGAGACCATCACAGCTCACAGCCCAGCGGGATCGGAGCCTCACTTACCAGTACAAGATACAGGACAAGAGTGTGTCCTTTTTCGCCAAAGGAATGTCTCCTGCTGTTCTGTGACCTCACTTAGAGGCAGCTGCAGATACCTTGACTATTTTCAGATGTGAAAGATAAAGCAACCGAGTAGGAATGGATCTTTACACCTTTGTAGTAGTATCTCAGGCTGGACTGGCAGCTCCGCGTGACCCAACGATGGTCGAATGGTGCTGTGACGGTATGCCTTTGTTCCCCTGGGCCCTGCTCAGAAAACACGTGAGGACTCTGCAGCCCTGCCTCTGCTGAGAGACGCTGCATGTGGAACCTGGGTGAAAAGGGGTCCTTTGGAGCCTTCCGTGTAGATTTGCTTTAGCCCCAACTACCCGTTTCCAGTTGAGTGCCTTCCGGAGCCAGAGTGGGTATGAATGTGCCAGCTGGGAGACAGTCCTGGATGGCAGGCATCCAAGGTGACAACTAGGATAGTCATGGCCAGTATCAAGTGAGGTCCCACCTCGTGGCTTCCCATGGATTGTCTCATTTAATTTTCACCTTCATCCTGCAAAGGTATTTTCCCTTAAGTCCAGTGAGGAGACAGGCTTAAAGAGGTTTGAAAGCATGCTCAAGGTTGTAGACCGGGCTGTAGGTAATGGACCCCTGACTCTCAAGTCCACATTTGCTGACTGACCCTCAAGGAAACCAGAGGCAGGTTCCCAGCCCAGTTCACAGCTTCGGTTCCTCCTGTTTCTTTCTTTCTTTTTTTTTTTGTGAGGAAGATCAGCCCTGAGCTAACATCCCTGCCAATCCTCCTCTTTTTGCTGAGGAAGACTGGCCCTGAGCTAACATCCGTGCTGATCTTCCTCCACTTTATGTGGGATGCCGCCACAGTATGGCCTGACAAACAGTGCGTTGGTGCGGCCCAGTATCCGAACCCGGGCCGCCAGCAGCGGAGCGCGCACACTTAACCTCTATGCCATGGGGCCGGCCCCCAGTTCCTCCTGTTTCTGTGGTGCCTGGCCCATATGCTGATGAGACCTAGCCATCAAAGGCCTGGCACCCTGGCCTTGGTCACATGAGGCCTTATGTAGGGCCCAACTGTGTATGGCCTTGGTGAGGGGGTAAGGAATGTTCTTGCAGCCGGGTGGGCTGGGGCCTTGGCGACGAGCTGGTGCCTCTCTCATCTGTGAAGACCACAGGAGGTGAACTGTTGCTTTAGCATCCTGTAGCTGACAATTTGCCCCACTCAGCCCCTCAGTCAAGGTCACTTCAGAGTGGACACCAGGGGTATTCTCAAAATGGGTGCCTTTTATTGTGTGTTAGTTATCCCACTGAAACAGTAGCTGCTTTTCTTCTCAACATACTGCAGACCTGATAGAATATTTGAAAATTATAAGTGTAAGTAACTTAAAGTAGTTATTAAAGAATCTAATGATTCTTTTATTAATACTTCAGTATTTATACAAGCTTCATATGAACTACAGTGCTGAATGGACAAAGCACCACAAAACATTTTTTACATGATATGAATGTTGCTGTTATGTTTCTTCCTACTTAATTTGTAAATACTTTCACTAAATTTTTAATGTTTAATGGCTCTTCAGCATTTTATGGTGTCATTATATTCTAATTTGCTTAGCTTTTCTCTGAGTATGTAGGTTCTGGTTTTTGTAATTATAGATTATGCTGTTATGAATTTTATATACTATACCCATATATAGGTATGGAGGCAAGAACTTGTTTCCTTAGACCATTCATTCATTCATTCAACAAATACTGAGCACCATCTATATGGCAGGCTGCTGTAGGCACTGAGGGTATGACAGTGACAAAACAGGTCCTGCCTGCAACAAAATTGACAAGTAATATAGCTAGAGTTAGACCATAGTAAGTGCTAGAAAAAAAGCAGGGAAGGGGCCCAAGAAGAGTGAGGGGTGATGGAATTTTAGAGTCTACTGCCCGAAGTGGAATTTCTGAATTAAAGCCTGGGCTGGCACTCACATGTTATCATGTTGTTCTTCAGAATAATGGAGCCAATTAACAGTGATCTAGGTTTTCCTCCACCAACATTGAGTTTAACTTATTTTTTAGTAATTTAATAGTTGTGTGGAAATGGACATTTCCTTAATAATGGATAATAAAGGATGTAATTTTCTGTCTGTATTTTCCTGTGTGTACAGAATCTGTTCCTCACCCTTAATCACTTATCAATTAAAATCTGGTGTCAATCTTATTTTATTAATTCTTTATAATATTTTGGAAAGTAAGATTTTATCATTGTCTTTGTTCATGGTTATTTTTCTACATTCTGGTTTTTAAAAAATATTTTATCTTCAGAAATAAAAAAAATTTGTTTTCTATTCAGATATGCATTAGTTCAAGAACTATTTGTAGAACACCTGTTTTATATAAGGGATTGTTAAAGACAATCCTAAAGGCACCTGCTGCAGTGTAATGGGGAAAAGAAAACAGGAACTTAAATAATGTGATGCTGTGGAGAAGGTGACAAGGGCCATAGAAGCAATTCAAGTGATGGGAGGCTGATAGGCTGATTGTCACAGAAAAGAGCAATTATTTCCCCCTCACTTTTTTTCGTTTTGAATTGAGGGAGCAGAGAATTGGGGAAGAATTTATGAACCTTGGAATGTTCCTATTTTGTGTCTGATGGTATCTTAGTTCTTCGAGATTCAGAAATGTATTTTTCTTCTTCACTGGAATAAAGGTACTATTCTTTGTTTTGTTATTTTTCCTAGTTTAAAATAATTTTTAAGATAAGCTTAAGATTTTGCCTCATTTGGAATCTGTTGTATCGTAATTTGTCTCCATGCTGATAACTAAATAGCTCAACAGTATTTACTGAAAAGTAATGTTCCTTTCTCTTTATGTAGTTCTGATTATTTACATGTAAAGTTCTTAAAATTCAGCCCCTCTGAAATTGGTCTGGGGCCGGCCTGGTGGCATAGTGGTTAGGTTCATGCACTTTGCTTCAGCAGCGCGGGGTTCACGGGTTCAGATCCCGAGTGTGGACCTACACACCACTCATCAAGCCATGCTGTGGTAGCATCCCATATATAAAATAGAGAAAGATTGTCACAGATGTTAGCTTAGGGACAATCTTCCTCAAGCAAAAAGAGGAAGATTGACAACAGATGTTAGCTCAGGGCCAATCTCCCTCACCAAAAATAGATAAATAAAAATAAACCTCTGTGTGAAATTTGTCCTTAGTAGGTATTGAAAAGTTAGTGTATGTCTGCTACCAAGAGTCTTTATTAAAAGGATATTGTGCCCACGTATTTATCCAGATAAATTTAACCAGCACTTTATCAAGCTCTAGAAAGTATTCTTCAGGGACTTTTTCTCTCATTTTCAATTTTAATTTTTATTTGTTTTGGTGAGTAAGATTAGCCCCGAGCTAACATCTGTGCCCATCTTCCTCTATTTTGTATATGGAATGCCGCCATAGCATGGCTTGATGAGCGGTGCGTAGGTCGGTGCCCAGGATCCAACCCTGCGAACCCCAGGCCACTGGAGCAGAGCAGGCGAACTTAACCACTATGCCACCGGGCCGGCCCTGTTCTCTTGTTTTTGTATGATGTTATTTAAGAAACTAATGAAGAAATTAATACCCTCCTATTTAATACTTTTTGTTACTGGAAAAGGACTTATCTGATTTCTTTGATTTTTTTTTTTCTATGGTGTCTTTGACAGGAATGCAGTTGACTTTTTAAAATTTATAACATCCTACAGTTTTTCTTTTCTTTTTTTTTTTTTTTAAAGATTTTATTTATTTATTTTTTCCCCCCAAAGCCCCAGTAGATAGTTGTGTGTCATAGCTGCACATCCTTCTAGTTGCTGTATGTGGGACGCGGCCTCAGCATGGCCAGAGAAGCAGCACGTCGGTGCGAGCCCGGTATCTGAACCCGGGTCGCCAGCAGTGGAGCGTGCTCACTTAACCACCAAGCCACGGGGCTGGCCCCCTACAGTTTTTCTAAACTATTCTAATAATTTTCTGATTGAGATTCTTGAATTTTTTAGATTTTTTTTCTTTTTTTTAGACGTTAACTTCTGCAGATAATACCAAACTCGCTTATTTTTCCCTTGAATAACTTTAAGCAGCATATAAAATTTGTTAAATAAGAGCGTGAAGGTATTTGTTGTCTAATTTCTGTTTTTAAGGGAATAAGAAGCATTTTATATAATAATCCTTAATTTTAAAATGTATATACTATTATCAAGTCTGTTAAGAACAAATAAGCTTTGGGGCTGGCCCGGTGGCGCAAGTGGTTAAGTGCGCGCATTCTGCTGCAGCGGCCCGGGGTTCGCCGGTTCGGCTCCTAGGCACGCAGCGATGTACCGCTTGGCAAGCCATGCTGTGGTGGCGTCCCATATAAAGTGGAGGAAGATGGGCATGGATGTTAGCTCAGGGCCACTCTTCCTCAGCAAAAAAGAGGAGGATTGGCAGATGTTAGCTCAGGGCCGATCTTCCTCACAAAACAAAGGAAAAAAAAAAAAAAAAGAACAAATAAGCTTGGAGAGGGAAAGGAGAAAGAGTCTTCCTCTTCAATCTCCTGTCCTCTTTTTAAGAGTTTAACCAGGGGCCAGCCCAGTGGCTTAGTGGTTAATTGCGCACGCTCCGCTACTGGCAGCTCTGGTTCGGATCCCGGGCGCGCACGGACGCACGGCTTCTCCGGCCATGCTGAGGCCGCGTCCCACATACAGCAACTAGAAGGATGTGCAGCTATGACATACAACTATATACTGAGGCTTTGGCGGGGGAGGGGAGGAGGAGGATTGGCAATAGATGTTAGCTCAGAGCCGGTCTTCCTCAGCAAAAAAAAAAAAAAAGTTTAACCAGTAATCATTATTGAATTCTGTAGACTTCTTCACCCTCATTGAGATAATGGCACTGTTTTCCAGTGGATGTGGTGAGCACGGTAACACCTCCCTCTGTTGTATGAGCCTTGAATTTCTCTTACAGTCTTGTCTTGGTATTTGTTGTATTTTCTATAACCTGCTGTTTATGTTAGGCTTGCTAAGAATTTTTAAATTAATATTTATTTTATTGAGATTTTTTTTGTTATTGTGATATTATGCCATCTATATTTGTGAGCGAAAATGACCTATACTTATTTGTTTATCTGTGTTATCCTGGTCAGTTTTGAGCATGAAAACAACACATGCCTCATAAGCCATGTTGAGGAAATTGCTGCCTTTTATATGCTTTGAAAGTCTTAGTGCTTTTTATTCCAAGTTAGGACTTGCATTGGTCAAGGTCAGGTAACTTTTTGGAGGTAATTGCAAAAATTTTCTTTGTTATTGGTCTTTATTTATATAGTTACTTTGTTTTGTCAGTTTTAGTATTACTTATTTCTGAAATAGTTATCCATTCTGTTT